ATAAAGTTTGAACCAGGGACAGGGGTACTGCGTCATAGTGACGCAGTTGGTTTTTAATCTATTTTTAACGAAAAACCATTAATCACTATTTGATATATTGCGATAAAGTAAACAAAATTAAAGCATCGAAAACGAAAATGATGCAGGGTGCTAGTATACTCCGGGCCAGACTTCAGAAAAATGGCGTTAATGCGAAAGAATTTAGCACATGCACCCATTTGGTCAGAAAATGAATATGTGCCACAATCTCCAGACGGAGACAATGTGTTCAAAGAGAGCCGGCTGGACCAAACTTCACAGCAGTAACGGTGTTCTCAATGGGTAGCAAAATGGAAGGATCGCATCTACTTTCATTATAACTATGCCAAAATCGATGATGTGCGGATACAAATGCGAAATCTCTTAAAAGAGAATGCTGATAGTGGAGCAAATGATGGGTGAAGTGCCTTTGAGCCTATAAAAGCACCCAGACTCTCCGTAAGATGAGCGGCGTGCAAGATGTCACTGCGATCGAGCAAACAGTGAAACCTGGTTGAGCAGTACATTGTTACTGTTTTAGCTGACAACCGTGAACATCGTTACGAGGAAGCGGACGATTACTCCGGCGACTTCCAGAGCTCAAGATCGAATGGCCTGGTATGGCTAAGCCCATTGTGTAGGAACAACTCTCAATAACGCCACTAACATATCGAATATCTGGCCAGTGCCGAATTGCTGATGTTTATCAAACTGTTACTAGTCGACCTGCTAGATTATTTTACCAAGTTTATGAATTTGAAAAATTTGACAAATAAAAATAAAAAAAACTCTGAAAGACCTGGATTTCTCGATTTCCGATCGCAGTGCCACAAGATCGGTAGGGATCATCTGATTACTGGATGGATCAGGAGGCGGATAGTTTATGCCGGTTGGTTTCCGCAAAAAAGGCGATAGCGATAACGACGGTGATTGGGCCTTGACCAGTGGTGCAATGGCTGCTGCATAGCTGGCTTCGTCATCCGGATACTGCACATAACCATTACCTTCCCCGCAGCTTGACGACGACAACAGACGCTGATGGCTCATATATCGTGGAGTAACTGGC